ATCATCATGTGGTTTTTATCTTTGGTTCTGTTTATGTGGTGGATAACGTTTACAGATTTGCATAAGTTGAACCAGCCTTGCATCCCCAGGATGAAGCCTACTTGATGATGGTGGATAAGCTTTTTGATGTGCTGTTGGATTCGGTTTGCCAGGATTTTATTGAGGATTTTTGCATCAATATTCATCATGGATATTGGCTTGTAGTTTTCTTTTTTAGTTGTATCTCTGCCAGGTTTTGGTATCAGGATGCTATTGGTCTCATAGAAAGAGTTAGGGAGGATGCCTTCTTTTTGTATTGTTTTGGATAGTTTCAACAAGAATGGTACCAGCTTCTCTTTGTACATCTGGTAGAATTTGGCTATGAACCCGTCTGGATGTGGACTTTTTTGATTGGTTGGCTAATTGCTGACTCGACTTCAGACCTTGTTATTGGTCTATTCAGGGTTTCCACTTCTTCCAGGCTTAGTCTTGGGAGGGTGCAAGTGTCCAGGAATTTATCCATTTCTTCCAGATTTACTGGTTTCTGTGCATAGAGCTGTTTGTAGTAATCTCTGATGGTAGTTTGTATTTCCGAGGAATTGGTGGTGATCTCCCTTTTATCATTTTTTATTGCATCTATTTGATTCTTTTTCTCTTTTTTATTAGTCTAGCTAGCAGTCTATTTTGTTGATCTTTTCAAAAAACCAGCTCCTGGATTTATTGATTTTTTGGAGGGTTGTCTATCTCCTTCAGTTCTGCTCTGATCTTAGTTATTTCTTATCTTCTGCTAGCTTTTGAGTTTTTTTTTTTTATCTTGCTCCTTTAGGTCTTTCAATTTTGATGATAGGGTGTCCATTTTAGATCTTTCCTTGCTTCTCATGTGGGCATTTATTGCTATAAATTTTCCTCTAGCCACTGCTTTAAATGTGTCCCATAGATTCTGGTATGTTGTGTTTTCATTCTCATTGGTTTTGAGGAAGATTTTTATTTCTGCCTTCACTTCATTGTTTATCCATTCGTCATTCAGGAGCAAGCTGCTTGGTTTCCATGTGACTGTGCAGTTTTGAGTGCTTTTCTTAATCCTGAGTTCTAATCTGATTGCACTGTGGTCTGAGAGACCATTATGATTTCTGTTCTTTTGCATTTGCTGAGGAGTGATTTACTTGCAATTATGTGGTCTGTTTTAGAGTAAGTGTAATGTAGTGCTGAGAAGAATGTGTAATCTGTGGATTTGGGGTAGAGTGTTCTGTAAACGTCTATTAGGTCTGCTTGATCCAGAGCTGTGTTCAAATCCTGGATATCCTTGTTGACTTTCTGTCTCACTGATCTGTCCAGCATTGTCAGTGAAGTGTTAAAGTCTCCCACTATTATTGTGCAGGAGTCTAAGTCTCTTTGTAGGTCATTAAGAACTTGCTTTATGTATCTTGGTGCTTCTGCATTGGATGCATATATATTTAGGATCGTTAGCTCTTCTTGTTGCATTGATCCTTTTACCATTATGTAATGCCCTTCTTTGTCTCTTTAGATCTTTGTTGGTTTAAAGTCTGTTTTATGAGAGACTAGGTTTGCTACCCCTGATTTTTTATTTTGCTCTCCGTTTGCTTGGTAGATCTTCCATCCCTTTATTTTGAGTCTATGTGAGTCTTTGCACGTGAGATGGGTCTCCTGAATACAGCACACCATTGGGTTTTAACTTTTTATCCAGTTTGCTACTCTGTGTCTTTAGATTGGGGCATTTAGGCCATTTACAGTTTACTTTAATATTATTACATATGATGCGAATTTTATCCTGCCATTTTGTTACTGGCTGGTTCTTTTGCCCAATAGCTGACATGGTTTCCTCGTTGCACTATTGTTCTTTATGATTTGGCATGTTTTTGCAGTGGCTGGTATTAGTTGTTCCTTTCCATTTTCAGTACTTCCTTCAGGAGTTCTTGTAAGGCAGGTCTTGTAGCAATGAAATCTCTCAGCAATTGCTTGTCCATAAAGGATTTTGTTTCTCCTTCATTTATGAAGCCTGGTTTGGCTGGATATGAAATTCTGGGTTGAAAGTTCTCTTCTTTAAGGATGTTGAATATTGGCCCCCACTCCCTTCTAGCTTGTAGAGTTTCTGCTGAGAGATCCACTGTGAGTCTGTTGGTCTTTCCTTTGTGGGTGACTCGACCTTTCTCTCTGGCTGCCCTTAGTATTTTCTCCTTCATTTCAACCCTGGTGAATCTGATGATTATGTGCCTTGGGGTTGCTCTGCTTGATCAATATCTTTGTGGTGTTCTCTGTGTTTCCTGGATGTTAATGTTGGCCTGCCTTGTTAGGTTGGGGAAGTTCTCTTGGATAACATCCTGAATACAGTTTTCCAACTTGGATTCATTCTCCCCATCACATTCAGGTATGCTGATCAAGTGTCGATTAGGTCTTTTCACGTAATTCCATAGTTCTTGGAGGCTTTGTTCATTTCTTTTCAATCTTTTTTCTCCAATCTTGCCTTCTCATTTTATTTCATTGATTTCATATTCTATCTCTGATATCCTTTCTTCTACTTGATGGATTCAGCTGTTGAAACTTGTGCATGCCTCGTAAAATTCTTCTGCTGTGTTTTTCAGCTCCATCAAGTTGTTTATGTTCTTCTCTAAGCTGGTTATTCTAGTTAGCATTTCGTCTAACCTTCTTTCAAGGTTCTTAGTTTCTTTGCATTGGGTTAGAACATGGTCTTTTAATTCAGAGAAGTTTGTTATTGTCCACCTTCTGAAACCTGCTTCTGTCAATTCATCAAACTCATTTTCTGTCTTATTTTGTTCCCTTGATGGTGAGGAGTTGTGATCCCTGGGAGGGGAAGAGGTGTTCTGGTCTTTGATGGTTTCACCCTTTTTGTGCTGGGTTTTCCCCATCTTCGTGGACTTATCTCCCTTTTATCTTTGAAGTGGTGATTTCTGGAGAAATCTCTGAGTGGACATCCTTTCTGTTGTGGTTGGAGTGATATCTTTTTTGGCCTGTAGCAGCACTGCTGGGTTGCCTCAGATTCAGTCAGGTTGCTAAGTGGGTGGTTTTCCCCTGGGGTTTGTTTGCAGGTGAAATTAGCTTCACCTTCCCAATGGCATCTCTCCTTCCCTGAGCTCAATATTCCTGGTCGGGGTCAAACTGGTATATTAGCTGCCAAGCTCTCTGGCACGCAGGATTCAGTTTCAGTTTTGTGGAGGGTGGGGCCTCCCAGGCCTTATGACCTGTTTTCCTGCTTTCATCTCTGCCTCTTTCTGTGGGATGGGCTGTTCCATCTCACTAGCATTAGTCCAAACTTCCACCCAGGTCCCGCCACCAGGTGGGAGCCCTCACTTAGATTTGCATCAACAACCCACAGCACCCCTCAGTCTGGCAGGGCTCTCATGGACTGTGGGTTGCAGGAGGGATGCGGTAAGCACAGGATCCGAATCGCAGCACTGAGCAGGTGAAGTCCCCTGACCCTCTGAGCTGGCTGCACGTTCCAGGTGGGGACGTGCCCCACCCTGTCTTGGTTCATTCTCCCTGGGCAGCTCTTGCCCTGCTTTGACTCCTTCCCTGGGCTCTTTTCAGAGTCCTTCCAGTCCCCTTTAAATGAACCCAGCACCTCATTTGGAATGGTAAAGTCCTCTAGCCCTCTGTGTCTCATTTGCTGGGAGCCGCATCCCAATGTTGCCTCCTGTCGGCCATCTTGGCACCGCCTATCAAGCTCAAAAATAATTCTTACAAGTACACTGTCTTTATAATCAGCATCCAATACACTAAAGAATAATGAAAATATTAATGTGCTGATTAATGATGGATTCTAATCAATCCTGGACAATAAAACTAGGCATGGAATATAAAATGCAATGAAAATCCAAAGTACATGATGATTTGGTCTGTGTGAGATCCTGTCCACAGATTATAAATTTATTGTTGATTATTCCTGGAATGTATATGTCAGTCTATTAAAAAATCTGTCAGGAAAATACATTATTTCAGAGACTCTATGATGTCAATGACAACCTTAGAATAATAAGACCAATACCAGTGACTTCTCTATGTATTCTCACAACAACCAATCACTTCCTATTCCTATGATATGTGGTTCCAAAGATGAGAATTTGATGCTTTCACCTCACAGGAGCTGTTTCCTAGCTGTTTCCTAGATCAAATCTTAATACACAACAAAAATCAATCTGACCACAGGATATCTACTGTTAGACAACTTATTTCTCTTTATTCTAGATTGGAAGTGTCCATGAAAATAGAAGCTGCTTCCCAGAGGCGATATTAAGACCATTCACATAATTTTTTCTCATCCTTCAAAGAATTAACATGTGCCAGGTTGAACTTTAGTCACAAGCCCCAGTATTTTAAGAAATGTCATTTACTACTTGGAGAGATGAATGAGGTTACATAGTCATAACAGGTAAATTATTATTCATCAAATATCCGTATTCTCATTTATAAAGGACTATTCTGACGAAGTATATCACTTTCAGGGGAGCATTTTTCAACTCCCTGAATAGCTACACCAGCCCCCTGTCCCTCTGGAGTCCTTCCTTTCATGGGGTGATGAAGACTTTAACAGACTTTAACAGCTGTGAGATATTTTGAAAACTAGATAAGAATATTTGAGAGACAATTCTGATTTAAAATACATATTTAGACCTTGATCACTAATTAAACTAAATTCTGGTTGTTTTGTATTAGAATACAAGCATTCTTCCTTTCTTCTGGGTGAGGTAAGTACTTACTCAAGAGTTTAATTTTACCTGCAATCCCAGCACTTTAAGAGGTCAAGAAAGGAGGATCACTTGAGGTCAGGAGTTTGAGACCATCCTGGCCAAAATGGACTCTACTAAAAATACACGAATTAGCTGGGCATGATAAAAATACACAAATTAAAATACACAAATTAGCAGGCACCTATGGTCCCCGTTATTTGGGAGACTGAGGCAAGAGAATAGCTTGAACCCAAGAGGCGGAGGCTGTAGTGAGTCAAGGTCACGCCACTGCACTCCAGCCTGGGCGACAGAGTGAGACTCTTTGTAAAAAAAAAAAAAAAAAAAGTTAAATTTTAAAGCTGGTTACAACAAAACTGAAAGAAATCAGATCCTTATCTGACTGCCTACCTGGAAGCTGATGGAAACGTCAAGGAAGAATACTATCAGGTGAAAGGTTGATTTCTCTCTGCAACCTTTTATTTAATCAGTCTCTTATTTCAAACAGAGTATGCCAAGAATTCCATAGGTTCTCAGGAAACATGGCTTAATGGCAGTGATGATGGCACTCAGAGATGCTAACATCCTCATCATTTTAGACTAAGTAGGTAAGTTGGAATGCCACTCTCTTAGTAACGAGGGTGAGAGGCTCAGAAGAAGTTTTTGTTGGTGTTTCTACAATTCTCAGCCATTTTGGGATACAAGATGAGTCTCACTGGCAGGTGTTAGATTATTAGGAAAATTAAGCAGATGGCACTGGCAAGCTCTGCCTCCCCTTTCCTCAGCTGCCAGGAATTCTTGCCCTCAGGCTTAGCTTCACATATGCTTGTTTAAAAGCTCTTGCCATTTCAAGGTAACACAATCTGTGTCATCATTCAAGCATGCCCATGACTATGAACAAATAGCATCATCCACATTTTCCCAGAGTGTTAGGGAAAAACCGTTCTGTTTTTTGTGTGTCGCCCATAACCTGCCACAGTGCATTCCACCGAAGCAGCTCATGTTACTGACTCAGAGGAGGAAAGCGAGTGTATCTCAGCAGTTGTTTGCAATGTTCAGTGTACCATAATATGGATCTGAGGACCTACGTCATCACACGATCAAGAGCAGCCAAGCCTCCAGTCTGTACACAATGAAATCATAGAAAATAGCATTTTCAAGAATGGTGTTTCATATTGTCTCAGCCAGTCGACTTTGGTAACATTATGTTTGTTTTTTTAATTGTAGGTTCATTTATCAGCCAGTCTTAAGAGACCGCTCAAATATGACTGAGGATCTCATACAGATGCCTAATTAAGTCTATTAACATAACGAAGCCATGAAATGTTATGAATTAAAAGTGCTCTAAACACTGAAATCATCCTAACAAAAATAAACAAAATAACCTGTGACTATATGTGTCAATTATATATTTGCATATGCAGATGTACATAATTAAAATACAATTCTAAATCTGTTACAGTAAGCAAAATGTAAAAGATCTACCGAACATTTACCAGGAGCTGAGCGTTGTGAAATGCATTGGGGCTGCAATAAGAAACAAGACAGACACAGTCCCTGCTCTCAATGACCTTAAAAATAAAGAAAAAGAAAAGTGGATGACAATGAAAAACTACAGAAAGAAGAAACCTAACTGATGCAGGATGGGCACGCCCCCAAATTGGGGTTTAGCCTGTCAAGGTTCTTGATTCTGCCCAGGAGAGAATTAAAAGCTGGTAGTATTAGACATCAACATTGAATGAACCAGAGCTGCTCACTGCAAACCAGGGCTAATGCTTACGCAGTGCACCCAGAGCTGGAAGCATATGGGCTGTTGGCAGCTGTATTGATGCCCACTTTTAATTATGTGCAAGTTAAGGGGTGGGTTATTCAGAAATCTCTTAAAAAAAGGGGGGGGGAGGTAGTAACCTAGGGGCTGTTGCCATGAATAAGGAGTGGGAACAGGTTGTTGCCGTGGCATTTGTAAACTGTCACGGTGATGGTGGGAGTGTCTTATACTAGCGGGCAGCGAGGCTAACTAGAGGTTGCCTTTAATGCTACCTATTGCTTCTGGCCAGTTTCTTCACTCCATCCTGTCTGGCCTAGGAAATAAATCCTGCCCGTCTCCTACCTTACAACCTCTATTTAGAAGAGTAGAGGTACTGGTGCAATGTTTTCTGATAGTTGGAGGGTGGTAGCAGTTTACCAGGAAAAGCACACAAGTGATGGGAGAACTGGTAAAAACTCAAACTTGAAAATCAAGATATATTTGAGGATATGGAATGAGTGTGACGTGGCTGAGATGTCACAAGTGAGGAGAGGGGGGCCACAGAGGTGACCGGTTCATATCCTGAAGGACCCTAAAACTTAAGGAGTAGACACTGAGCCCATCCATAAGCCACTGAGGGTTTTTAAGCAGGGGAGAAATGTGGTTCAATTTGCATTTCAAGAATAGCACTTGGATTACCATATGGGGAATGGACTGGATGAAAGCAGGTACAGAAGAGATGCAATAGTTAAGGCCAAAAGTGAATGAACAAAAACCAGGGTAATGGAAATGGGGAGGGAGAGAATAGAGATTTTATTTTAGAAAAAATTTCACGATATTCCTCTGCCCAAATAGTTTGTGGGAGTTACCAGCTCCATTTATCCATTTGTCCATTTGTCTGCCCTATTCTTTACCTATTTGCTAGTACAGTTGCTCATGTAATGATGAAAAAGAAGAAAAGGCAAAGATAACATGCAAACTGGGTAACTAGCCTTTTCTTAGCCCCCCAACACACACCTGTAGGTATCGTGAAATATGATTATGCATAGTGATAAAGAGTAGTGATCCTATCACTATGAACAAAATTAGTAGAGCCCCTATGAGTTTTCACAGTATATTAAATTATATGTGTAGGTCTGCTCATCTGAATGCCTGGTTTGGATTTAATTGTAAACTGGATTAGAAATCATCTAATGACATGTAGGAAAAAATAATTGAAGGTAAGAAATTAAGAAACTTCATTTAAGCTCTGCCTTTTACACTGTTAAAGATTTACTGCTTTTAACTATTGGTAAGGTTATAGATCTGCTGATTATGTTTTTGTATCTTCGTAAGGTAAATGCATGCTCATTCACCTTTCTAGCTCATCAACTGGGCTTCAAACAAGTGGTCATCTTTCAGGTCATCCATGAGGCCAACCTGCACCATGTCCTCTCTTCCAGTGTGAAAACTCAACCAGTGACAAAGAAACTACAGAACTCTTTGTTAGTATTTAAAGGAGCCTCTAAGACATTACTTTTTATTTCTAGCATTAAAAAAAAAGACATAGATGCATAGGAGCATGTTGTGGTTCATGGGTTGGATGTCTATTTGCCAGCTTGGATTTATGATTTGGAAAACAAGTGAATCTCTGATTAAGCCAACCTCTCACACACACATACATACACACACACAAACACACACACACAATCTACCTACCTTTAATGGAAGTGACAAAGTGATCTCTTATTTAATATTTCTGAACACCTAATGTATATATAAACCAAGCAATGTTTTAAAACTTAACAGTGAATGAGGTAGAAATATGTTGGCTTTCATATTTCCATGTAAGGAACAGGTAACATCAAGACAACGTGTGCAAAGCAAAGGATTAAATCACACTGATGTCACTGAGGGGCCACTTCAGAGTGCGAATGAGATTTATCTGAAGAGATCATTTCTGAGATACAAACAGTGTCTAGCTTACTTCTCACCTGTACTAACAGTTGAATTTAGCCTAGAGTAAAACACACAGCCATGATGACAAGTCTCATATGAAATTCATGATCGGGGACCTCTCAAGGACACTTGACACTGTTGACAGTCATAATGCATTTTTCTAGTCCATTGTATACCTACGTTTTTTTGAGACAGAGCCTTGCTCTACCACTCAGGCTGCAGTGCATTGGTGCAATCTCAACTCACTGCAACGTCTGCCTCCCGGGTTCAAGTGATTCTCGTGCCTCCGCCTCCTGAGTAGCTGCGATTACAGGTGTGCACCACCACATACAGCTAATTTTTGTGTTTTTAGTAGAGACGGGGTTTTGCCATGTTGCCTAAGCTAGTCTCGAACTGCTGGTCTCAAGAGATCTGCCTGCCTCAGCCCCCCAGTATGATGGGATTACAGGTATGAGTCACCATGCTGGTCATCTACTATTTCTGCAAAGCTCCAGTATCTCCTTTCTTACCCTCTGTTAAGGCACCTGCCTCCGATTTCTCTGGGGCAAAACAAGAATAGAAGCAATGAGAGGAATGTTTTCTAAGCTCCCAACAACCAGTCCTACCCATTTTTGCTGCCTTCTCCTGTGGATCTGGAGGAAGAACTTCCCATGCTTCTATGTAAGTCCCCTCTTTCCACTTCTGCACTAGATGATTTGCTCTCTGACTTACCCTGAGATATGCTCTCCTGTCCCTCAGATAGTTCCTTCTCTCCTCAGTCAATTCAGTCATCCATCATTTCAGCACACCTGACTATGGAAACTGCTTTCTCACACACAGCAGCAGCCAAGTCCCTGCAACGTCTACAAGACTCGCCATGATTCAGCCTCAGTACTTGCATGACCTCAGCTCCTCCTCCTTGTTCACCCTTTTTCCCCTGTACTCCAGCCATGCTGGCCTCTGCTGTTCCTTCAGCACAGCATAGCACACTTCCACTTCGGGGCCTTTGCACATCTTATTTCTTCTGCTCTGACCCATATTCTCCCAGGTATCTATAAAACTCACCCCTTAACCTCTCCTGTTTTTTGTTCTCATTTTGCCTGTGAGATGTTCCCTACACCCTACATAAAACCCCCACTGTTACTCTGCCATTCACTATCTCTCTCGCCAGCTTATTTTTCTCTACAGCATTTGCCATTATTTGAAACCCCACTTGGTTTATTTACATAATGTATAGTCTGTGCTCCCACACTCTACTAGAATATAACTTCCACGAAGGCAGGATTTTGTATTAATGCATAGTTTCTTTTGGGGTTTTTGTTTTTTATTATTACTGCTTTATCCTCAAAACATTTAACAAAATCTGGCACGTATAGGGTCTCACTAACTGTTGAATGAACTGAATGTGTGCAAGACATAGCTAGTCTTGTTAGAATCATAGGAAGGAAGATTTCAGGCAGATGTAATAGCTCATAAAATATCCCCATAAAAGGGAAACGTTTAGTGTGTTTGAGGAAACCAAAAGTCATGGCTGGAGCAAACTGGGAAAAGAGAAAAGTGGTCCAAGGTTCTGCCCCTAAGTAACAAAGAGTCAGCTGACAACCATCTTTCCTCATCTCCGAGTGTTGCCTGCTGTATCCTGATGCTTTCCTCCCTCTGCTGGATGGGGCCTCCTATTTTTCATTATCGAATGAACTGCATGTTTCAGTTGCAGCACTGCTGAAACATGATACCTTCTACTACATACTACGGTACAGAATTATACTTAGGGAATCTGCTCAGGACCTCAGCATGATTTGGGCCTTTGAGAAACATCTCTCCTTGGACCTTTTTTTTTTTTTTGTCTCTCTCCGGAACATCCCATTTTTTTGAGGATCCAGCGTTTTTTGAGGATAAGTCTTCCCACAAAACACAGCCACTCTAATTTTCTCTAGTAAGCTTTACCCTAGAGGTGTGACTGTAGGGCCTTGCATCTTTCTAATTGGAAAATAAGACTGCATTTTTCCATACAAAACTGATGATTCCTCCCAAATAGAGGGATAAGTCTAATGTATTTTGAATGCACAGGAACTTATGGTCAAGAACTATAAATGGTTTGAGATTCTCTCCTGCTTGCAATCTGACAACTTAGCTGGCCACCACTTTATGGAAGTGGGTAGAAGGCAATAGATTCCTTGTTAGAGATAAAGGACGCTTTATTACTCAAAGCAATAGCATTACCAGAGGAAAAAACTATAGTTCTTTTTTTTTTCTGGTTTCATAAATGCCAATTCTCAGGCAACACAAGGAGGGTCAGATGATACCTGCCTGTGAGTGTGTTGCATTATAGGAGAGGAAGCCTAAGCTTTGAGAACCCAAATTTTTTATCATTGACGGTAAGCATGTTTACCCTTTGCTCCAGAAGGGAAAAAATTCCCTTTATTATACCAGACAGCAAACATGCCTGCCCTTTGCTCTAGAGAGACAAACTATCTTCCATGGCTGCTGTCTGGAAAAACGTCCTTTGAAAGACAATGCAAACCAAAGAAAGTCATAAGATAAGGACAAATGTGAGAATCCTGTGATGGGCTATCTCCCAACATCTACCCCTGGTTTCTCTACCATCCTGGATTCTGAAGAATTGTCCTTGAATATGCCACTCTAATAACTACTGATTATTTTGAGTATTTCCACTCTAATAACTAATCAGTAGTTATTAGAGTGGGCATATTCGAGGAATTAATCT